ACGGGGGTAGCAGCATCATGCTGAGGGGGTGTTTTGCTGCAGGAGGGACTGGTGCACTTCACAAAATAGATGGCATCATGAGGACAAAACATGTGGAAATATTGAAGCAACATCTCAAGACATCAGCCAGGAAGTTAAAGCTTGGGTGCAAATGGGTCTTCCAAATAGACAGTGACCCTAAGAATACCGTCATATTAGTTACCAGCTGACTTCAGGACAACAAAGACAATGTTGTGGAGTGGCCATCACAAAGCCCTGATCTCAATCCTGTAGAGCATTTGTGGGCAGAGCTGAAAAGGTGTAGGCAAGCAAGGTGGCCAACCAACCTGACTCAGTCACACCAGTTCTGTCAGGAGGAATGGGTTAAAATTTAATCAAACAGTTGTGAGAAGCTTATGGAAGGAAACCCACAATGTTTGACCCAAGTCATACAGTTTAAAGGCAATGCTACCAAATACTAAGGAAATGTATGTAAACTTCTGACTTTGAAGAAAATAATAAAAATTCTCTCTCATTATTCTGGTGTTAAGCAAATCTAGAAGATTTTGGTAATCCTAACTGACCTAAAACAGGAAAAGTTTAGTCACATTTAATGTCAGAGAGTACGGAAGCACATTGCATTCACTGGGTAAAAGAAGAAAATAGACACCCTATCTCATAATTACGAGATCCTGATCTCACTATCACTGACGTCACTGAAAAGAGCACAGATTTCATGATTGGAGACGGGAGGAAAAGCATCTTCAGTCAGCCCCAGTCATAGTCTTACCTGAGCAGGTCACTTGTTTATTTGAGCATTTGTAGTCATAAACAAGAACAACAGGATTGTCAGCAACAGAAGTGCATCCAGACATCTTTGCGATCGCTTCGTAGCATTTGTCATGAACTTGACAGCACCTAAGAATACATTGAGAAAAGTAACACATTTCAGATAATCTCGAGCTCCTTCCATTTCAAACCAGGAAATAAAATTGGGTAATTACTGCTTCCTACCTGTCCAGATCATCTAGAGGGGTTCCCGATGCCCTGATGCCACACCAGCAGCCGTACTCGTTGTACTTCAGAGGGTTAACACCAGGCTGGATACAGGTAGTCAGGCTCATAAACTGCCATAAGGCCTTTGGCAGCAGAGCACCACTGGCCACGCAGGCTGGTAAAGGCAGATAAATGAACAACAACGGGATCAGGAGGAAACAAGAAACAAAACAATAAAGGATTTACACAGACTAACCCTTTACAGTATGTGTTACTGTAAAGTCATGACAGACATTTCAGTCTTACCCGTGAGGAGCAGCAGGAGCAGAGGAGCTGTGGCATTCATAGCTACAGTAGGATGAAAGCAAAATCACCCACAGCCTGCTTTTATAGAGGAGAGAGAAAAATAAGATAAGAGGAGAACAAAGGGGCGGGAGCTTTAAACATGAAATCACTCTGTCAGACCAGAGCATAATGTCAATAATCAAGTAATGACATCAAAGCAGCATGTTTTCATCACTAACAGTATTTTTGCTTTTGACACATTTGCATTTTACTGGCTTTGTTTGATTTTTATTCAAAGGAATATTTTTACATATTAGCAATTGTAGCATACCAGCATGTTTATAATACACATATAATAATACTGTAAATAATCCAGCACCAGTAACTGTTTGACTCATATGTCAAACAGTTACTGGAGATATCTGCCCTTGAAAGATATGGGCCTCAAAACCTTATATTCAATATCTTTCTGGGGCAAAAACACTAACAATAGAAAAAAAAAGCCCTTTTTGCCACTTTTCAGGAACTACACGGTGTCAAACNAGCAGCCTGGCACTTGTTGTTGGTATCTGCAGGGAGAGAAGCTGAGTCAGCACATGAACAGACAGCTGCACCATCACAACAACACAAACGCAACATAATACAAGTAGTGTGATGAAAATGCCAGCAGTGTGCTCTCTCCACCTGGATTAAAGCCTCAATCCCAAACTGTGTAATACCTATACATAGCTGTTTAAATACAGTTATTGCGTGTACAGTATTTACACATGGTTCCACAAATGCAGCCTTGTTTAATGTACCATGTTTACACTAAAGCTACAGTCTGCTATTCACTGAATACTGCCAGTGCTGTAATACTGGAAAATGTTTTACAGGTTGTAGATGTGAGAAACATCTTCATGTGTGCTTGAGTGTGCACTGTAAAAAAAAAATCAAAACGTTTTAACAGTTTTTAGCAAACTTAAATTATTATTTTTAACCATCTTACAGATTTCCCCTGTTTTGATAAATAGCAGATAACAATTAGAAGAAAAAAGTCTTTACATGTTAACTGTAAACAAACATACCACAATTTGTCCTTTGCAACATTTAACTACAAAAACTACACTATTTTTAATCATCAAAATCATCCAAAACTTATTTTACAGATATTTGCTGTTATTTGAAAGATAAATTATGTATATTAAGGACTGGATAATGGTAAAGCGATTATTTCACAGATTTTCTCTGTTTTGTTAAATTACAGATAACTCATGAATAAAAAAAATATGAATTATTTTACCTTTAAAAAAAAAAAAAGAAAAACAGGCCATAACTTTAAATAATGTCCACATAAAAAACAAAAATCTGTATCTTTTTAAAATGGTAACTCATTCTTTTACAACTTTGATCATTACATCACACTATTTTTTTTAGCAAAACATGTTTGTATTTTAAAGATTTCTGCCGTTTGAAAGAAAATTGCTGTTTATTGAACTGAATTGAATTGTACGATTGAAAAATGGTATGTAATTACATTTTTAAAATGTTGTTTTGTTAAATTACAGGTAATATCTAGTTAAATAATAAATCATACATGATATCCACATCCAAAAAAATACTAATTAAATTTTTTTTACAATGTGCAACCATCAAATTGCACTGACTTACTGTATGTAAATCAGCTCAAAAACGGTCATTATCTTACAGGTATTTGCTGTTATTTTCACAAATTTGATACTTTTGGCGCATCTGCAATTTACCAATACCTTTACTTAAAGGGCCTTTGTAATGCAACACTTTCACTTTCACCAGAGTATTTTTATATATTCCTGTTCGGAGTGATTTTTTTCTTGTTTTTTTTTTGCTTTTTTTTCCGTGAACTTTTTATTTGAACACTGTAGTTTGAATTTAATTCTGGCTGCTGAATTGACCGTATGTACCACATTATAGTTCATCTCCCTGCAGTGAAATCTAAAGCTTATGTGCTCCATGAGCAGTAGTTGGACATTTTCATCCTGTAGATGTAGGTTCAAATGAATTCCCCAAAATCAATACAGTAGTATTTAAATTTCATCAAGGAGAAGCTTGAGAGTCACTGAAAAGAGCACAAATTTCAAGACTGGAGACAGGAGGAAAAGCATCTTCAGTCAGCCCCAGTCATAGTCTTACCTGAGCAGGTCACTTGTTTATTTGAGCATTTGTAGTCATAAACAATAACATAAGGAAGGTCAGCAACAGCCGTGCATCCAGGAATCTTTCTGCTTGCTTCGTAGCATTTGTCGTGAACATGACAGCACCTAAGAATACATTGAGAAAAGTAACACATTTCAGATAATCTTGAGCTCCTTCCATTTCAAAAATGAGGACCAGTAAATAAAATTGGGTAACAACTGCTTCCTACCTGTCCAGATCATCTAGAGGGGCTCCCGATCCCCCAAAGCCACACCAGCAGCCGTACTCGTTGTACTTCAGAGGGTTAACACCAGGCTGGGCACAGGTAATCATGCTCCCAAACTGCCATAAGGCCTTTGGCAGCAGAGCACCACTGGCCACACAGGCTGGTAAAGGCAGATAAATGAACAACAACGGGATCAGGAGGAAACAATAATCAGATGCAGAATAATCTTCAGTAGAAAACAGCATTTACACAGACTAACCCTTTACAGTATGTGTTACTGTAAAGTCATGACAGACATTTCAGTCTTACCCGTGAGGAGCAGCAGCAGCAGAGGAGCTGTGGCATTCATGGCTACAGTAGGAAGACAGCAAAATCTCCCACAGCCTGCTTTTATGGAGGGGAGAGAAAACTGAGAGATAAGAGGAGAACAAAGGGGCGGGAACTTTAAATATGTAATCACTCTGTCAGACCAGAGCATCTTCTTATGTATTGTATAAGTATTGATCTTGCTTCAGTGTTTTTATCTCATGCTTATTAATCTACATTTAATATGCTGCATTTGTTAAAAAGTTTCAGTTTCTTACTGAATAAGACTTCATATACAAAGGATACGAGTAGTTCAGGAAACCAAAACAGCGAAAGAAATGGTTAAAATGAGCCACATCTCAACAAAGTGCAACAGCAAAATGCTGTCTGCACATGAAAACATTGGTAATAATAATCCAGTAATGTGATATGTAACAGTATAACACGCATCACTATCAATACTTTTGGCGCATCTACAATTTACCAATACCTTTACTTAAAGGGCCTTTTTAATGCAACCCTTTCACTTTCATCAGAGTATTTTTATATATTCCTGTTAGGAGTGTTGCAGTGTACCAGTACTTATATTAACCCTGATAATATTAAAAATGAGCCATATTTGGAGTACTTGTAC